TGTAAATTGCTTCATAAATGATTGGTAAGTTCGTAGGAAATTACTCAACAAATTCTCAGTAAATTTTCAATAAATTACTCCTTAAATTCTCAGTAAATTAATGAGTGAATTATTCAGGTAATTTATCAGTAAATTACTCGATAAATTCTCTGTAAATTACTCAGTATATTATTGGTAAATTCTTTGTTAATTACTCAGTAAATTACCAGTAAATTACTTAGTAAATTCTCACAAAATTAGTCAGGAAATTTCTCAGTAAATTACACGTAAAATTATATATAAATTATTCAGCAAATTCTTAGTAATTTATCAGAAAATTCTGAGTAAATTCTCAAAAAATTACAAGAATATTTTTTTGTGAATGAATCAGTAAATTATGAGTAAATTACTCAATACATTCTCAGAAAAATTCAATACAAATTCTTAGAAACTTATTCAGCAAATTACTCCATAAATTCGTAAATAAATTACTCGTTAAGTTTTAAATAAATTCTCTATAAATTACATTGTAAATTATCTGCAAATTTTCAGTAAATTATTTAATAAATTCGAAATAAATTACTCAGAAAATTTTCAATGATTTCCAAAAAATTCTGTATAAATTCTTGGTAAATTACTCATAAAATTATAAAAAAAAAAATCGTGAATTACTTTGTTAATTCTCAGTAAATTACTCAGTAAATTCTCAGTAAATTATTCAATAAATTCAAAGTAAATTACTTAGTAAATTCTCAGTAAATTAATCCAGAAACTCTAAGTAAATTATCAATAAATTCTTAGCAACTTACTCAGTAAATTCTCAATAAATTACTTAGAAATTTCCAACTAAATTACCCAGTGAAGAACTTAACAATTTATCAGTAAATTTCTTAGTCAATTCGCAGTAACATCTCAATAAATTACTAAGTAAATTATCGGTAGATTCTTAGTAAATTACTCAATAAATTCTCATTACATTACTCAGTAAAATTCTCAATAAATTACACGCAAAATACTCAGAAAATTATTCAGTAAATTCTTAGAAAATCATTAGAAATTTTTTTGTGAATTGCTTAGTAAATTATGAGTAAATTACTCTGTAATTTCACAGAAAATTTTGTATAAATTCTTGGTAAATTACTCAGTCAATTCACAGAATTTTTTAAAAAAATTACTCAACAAATTATTCAGTAAATTTTCAATAAATTCTCTATAAATTACTCAGTTAATTATCGGTGAATTACTCAATAACTGAAAAAGTAAATTACTCTGAAAATTTTCAATAAATTCTAGGAAAATTCTCAATAAATTATGATTAAATTACTCATTAAATTCACAGCAAGTTAACAATAAATTACTCAGCAAATTACCATTAAAGTTATAGTAAATTCGTGATAAATAACTCGGTAAATTCTCAGTAAATTGCTTCGTAAATGATTGGTAAGTTCGTAGAAAATTACTCAACAAATTCTCAGTAAATTCTCAATAAACTCTTAGTAATGTACTGAGTAAATTCTAAATAAATTACTAAGTAAATTCATAGTAAATTATTCGGTGAATTACTCACTAAATTTATCTGTAAATTACTAGGTAAATTCTCAGTAAATTACTCAGTTAATTATCGATAAGTTCTCAAAAAAGCCTTGGTCAATTACTTAGTAACTTACTCAGTAAATTATTAGAAAATTACTCTGCAAATTCCAAGAAAATAACATAGCAAATTATCTGTAAATTATTTAATAAATTCTAAGCAAATTACTAGTTAACTTCTCAATAAATTACTCCTTAAATTCTCAGTAAATTAATGAGTGAATTATTCAGTAATTTATAAGTAAATTACTCGATAAATTCTCTGTAAATTACACGTAAAATTCTCTATAAATTATTCAGCAAATTCTTAGTAATTTATCAAAAAAAT